GAGTCCGGGTGGTGGCTCTCCTTGAAGGGGGCGACCAAGAAGAGATCACCCCTCTCCCAGGCTGGAGAAGTAATCACTGCCTTGGCTGGGCTGGGTTTCCAGGAGGGTGGCTGGGCCCTCGCCTGGTCTCCAGACCCAGGGTACCATCCAAATCCCGCTGCAGGGCTGGCCCCATGGCACCTTGGGCCAGCTGCTCAAATACCCACATCCTCCTATTACACGGCGATGTAACCACTGACCCCAGGAACTGGAGTGGGGATTAACTGAGTTACTATTTGGAGAGTTCTTAGAATCGTACCTGCACAGAGCAAGCACTGTGGAGCCAGTGGTCCACAGATCCACAGCCCAGCTGTGGCTCAGAGAGGCCCCGGATGTCCCGGGTGGTGCAGTGAGCGCGGGGCTCTGCTCACACGGGGCTGAGCTGCATCCTCACGGGGTTATGGGCCAGGCCTGGGAGCTTCCCTTCCCTCCCACACAGTTTGGTTTTGCTTCCAGTGCGAGTGAACCTGAGGTTGGGGGCTGACATTCTCGTGGTGGAATGGGGGCGCCTGGTGGGTCCGAAGGGGTATCAGGGCCACGGAATGACTTCCGATGGGCGGGCTGTCTTGCCCGTGTCCGGCTCTGGCGCACCTGCCAATTTAATTGGTGGACTTGGGGCTGTTACCATTCTTTTTAATGCTGCTTTTCTTGGACATTATGGCAAGTCCTCTGGTCTTTTGGAAATGCCAAACTGGGGACCTGCAGACCAGGTGGTTTTGCTGTTCCTTTCCGGGATAGTTGAAAGAAGGTGCTGTCTGTCCCCCGGGAGGAGGGCTGCGTCCTCTGACTTTGCGGGCCTTCTCACGCGTCCTCTCTCGCAGACCATCAGTGCTACAATGGCTCGGGCACGGATTACAGAGGGACGGCGAGCACCACCAAGTCGGGCCACCAGTGCCAGCCCTGGGCCCAGCAGCACCCGCACAGCCACCGCCTGACCAGCGCCGACTTCCCCGAGCTCGGAGGGGGGCACGCCTACTGCCGGAACCCCGGGGGGCAGATGGAAGGGCCCTGGTGCTTCACGCAGAATAAAAACGTACGCATGGAACTGTGTGACGTACCTTCTTGTAGTATGTATTCTCTCTCTCTTTTTTTTAAAGTGTTGACTGTGGGGTGCTCTTTGTGATGACACGGGACCAGGAGGCGGGTGGCTCTGGGCCGCCCGCCTCCCTCCCCGCCATGTCACCACCGTGGTTATTTGTTTGAAGTAAAGCTGTTGCTGGTTGTTAAAGTAAAATCTGGTCGTTACAGGATGTCTTAAGTTATAGAAAAGTCTAAAGAATAATGCGCAAATCACCTTTAATTTCTCCACTCAGCACAGACTGCTGCTTACCCTTGGGGGCCCTTCCATCAGCCCTTTTTTCCGTGTGTGGTCCCGGGATATTCAGTTTGGCATCTTGTTTGTCAATTAACATAGCCACGTATTTCCCGCTATTAGTAAAAATGCTTCCTGTGTGAGTTACCACCGGCTTCTCAGAGCAGCATCCGTAGAGGGGCACAGCCTCCTGCTCCCCTCCCTCGCCTCCCACTCTGTTCAGCTTTCACCCCTAGCCTTGGCAGAGTGGGGAGAAAGTAGAACTTAAATCTCTTCACTGGTCTCCCTGCAGTTTCCCTCTTAAATTATAACTGGGAGGAGAACGTGTAGTTAATGGTTGCAGACTTTACAGGCGTCATTATCTCTGTGCAGGAATGCATTTGAAGAATGAAAATGCTGAGGGTTGGGTACAGCTCAGTGGTAGGGCACATGCTTAGCATGCACGAGGTCCTGGTTTCCATCCCCAGTACCTCCATTAAAAAAAAAAAAGAATGAAAGCATTGATAGTTAGATTATAGGATAGCTACCCTTTGGAATGCTACAGTTGTTTAAAAAAAATTCCCTGCAAGGAAGGATGTTCATATTGACTTGTTAAGGGAACGAAGCAAGTTGTAGGGCAATAGATGTGTTATGTCTTTTTGCTTTCTCTTTCTGCCTTTCTATTTGTCTTTTTCTCTCCTCGTCCTCCCTTCCATCTTTCTCTCTCTTTCTTCCTTCCTTTCGTTCTCTCCCTCTTCCTTCCTTCCTTTCTCCCTTCCTTCCTTCCTTCCTCCCTCCCTCCCTCCCTCCCTCCCTCCCTTCCTTCCTTCCTTCCTTCCTTCCTTCCTTGTAAAAGAAACAAAATGAGTGAAAGGTATGTGAATGAGCACACAGACACCCCTGTATTTCATGGAAAAAGTCCTGGGAAGAAACCCCAAACTTTTAGCAGTGACTTCGCAAGACCTACAGAGTGTTGAAACATAAGATGTTTTTACAACGAGCAGTCATTATTTTTGCAATTAAAAATAAAGCAAAACATAAAGAAAAATATGTACCTTCTTTGCCCTGGCAATTCCAGGAGTCTTGTGTTGCCGACATATTTGCACTTAAAGGGCAGAAATGCAAGGTTATTTATTGCAGAATCGCTTTTAGTAGCTCAGTGAGAAAGGAATTGTTTGCCAGCAGAGGGCTGGATGGTAACTGGAGCACATCCGGACCGTGGGACGGTATGCAGTTCTTGATAAATGCCTGGAGCTGTCTGTTCTGCAAGAAAAGTGGCCCGAGATACAGAAATTCTGCCACAAAACCAGGACCAGGAGAATATGGATGATATGATTCTATTTTAAATGAATTCCATTTAAAATTCTATTTTTAAAGAATTATATGAAACAGGTGCTTTTGTTTGTCAAATTCCTGGACTGTCAGTCATTTCATGTTCAACTTAAATATATACATAAAAAAATTAAGTGAATACCAACCTGTTAACAATGGTACAGCCTTTGGTGAAATTAGCCACTAGGGGTCTTCACTTTTCTGTAATACTATAATTATTAATAAGCAAGGGTGCTGTTGGTGATTTTTTTAGAAGATAATGATAAAATCAATGATTGTAGAAACCTCTGGGTGGACAGTGTTCCCATCTCTACCCTTGGTCTGGGGAGTCTGGAATGTGCCCCCACCTGACCCTCATGAAAAATAACCCAGAATCTCCACTGCCCCTGAAACTTCTAGAACATCTGCCCCCAGGGTGGGGCCAGGAGAGTTCCGTGTGTGGTTTGATTTGATCTGATCTTCTGGAGTCTGGGGAGCAAGACTGGATTTGGGACGATGCTTTTTCATGCTGGTGGGGAGAGCGGTCATTTTTTAGAATGGAATTCATCTCTCAGGGACCTCGTGGACCAAATGACTTGTTTGCTTTCAGGTGGAGAGCTCATTACTCACTCACTGTTCAAAGGGACGCCCAAGTCCCATGTAATTACTCACCAGGTTAATATGAAAACTGCTGGAGAAGTGAGGGGCGGTGGCGAGGCGGCCTTTTGGGGAACTTGCGTTCCGCCACTCGCCCTGCAGAAGCCCCAGCCCTCCTTGAGTCGTCAGCACTGGTGCCGGCGATGCTTCAGCCTTGCGGCCGGGGGCCCTCGCCGTCTTTCCATGAGTCCTGCCTGGGGAGACAAAGCCTCGCTCTTCACTGTGGACAAGCTGAAGGCAAAACGCCTCAAAGCCTCAGACCGTGCACCTTAGCATTTTTTTTTAATTGAAGTATAGTCAGTTACAGTGTGTCAGTTTTCGGTGTGCACCGTAATGTCCCAGCCATGCATATATATGCATATACACACATATATTCGTTTTCATATTCTTTTTCATTAAAGGTTATTACAAGATAATGAACATACAGAAGAAACTCGTTTTTTATATACCTTACCATTGTTTTTGAACATTTCTTGTGCCCCAGTGCATACTGTGGGGTCAAACTCATTGGCTGCCAGCGCACTTTTAAATCAAATGCACTTCAAACGATTATCTCCAGAGAATGTGTGCTCATTGTACCGCAGTGTGGAAACCCTGAAAACGTTGAAGGAAGGCAAGGACCATCTCTAATCCCAGGATCCGGTTTTCTTCCCTGGGGACGAGCCCGACAGAAGTGCTCCGTGGAGTTTTGCATTGAAGATGCAAAGGGCAGAGCGCCTATTCTGGCCGTGTTCAGATTGGGAAGGAAGCTGGTGGTGGTTCCTGCTGCTGCGGGACCTTCAGAGCTGATTGGGTTTTGTGCTCTGCATTCTGGTCTGTTTCTGTGGCGGGCAGGTCTAGGTTCCGTCTTAGAAATGCAGAGCGAACTGTGCATTTAGGGGAGACTTTCCCTCTTTGGGGTTTGGTTTATATTTCTGTCCTTTTGGGCAGCTGACCTGGTTATCTCCTTGTGCTGAAGGATTTTAGTTGGAGGTGGGAATGGGTCGGTGGAGGGCTTGGAGTTGAAAAGGGGGATGTTTCCTGGAAAATCGTAACCACCTGGCTGTTCACAGGTCCCCAGGACAGCAGCAGGATGGGCATCCTGTACATCTTGGTCCCGAGCATCGCCATCCCCTTGGTCATCGCGTGCCTCTTCTTCCTGGTCTGCATGTGCCGGAACAAGCAGAAGGCTTCTGCCTCGACGCCGCAGCGGCGGCAGCTGATGGCCTCCCCCAGCCAGGATGTGGAGATGCCTCTCATTAGCCAGCACAAACAGGTCTCTGGGCCCATGTATTTAAAGAGGCAGCTCCTCCAGCCTTAACCTCTGCCTGGGGATTGGTTGCCCCTAACGCTAGGGTTCTTCATTTGCTTGATACACGACACACGGTTCTTTTAAACTGGCCTTCATTTTGCCATTTCTTCTCTGAACTATATCAGGACTTTTGTGTCCTTAGGAAATAAACGGAATTCACTCTTCACCCTCAGCCAAGACCAGCCCTGTTAGCACGGGCCCGAGGGAGCTGTCCTCACTCCGCGGTGCTTCGACTGTCCCCACGGGAGGACACATCAAACAAGGGCTCTGATTGCCCCACCATTTGAGGGTGGATGTGGCATTTTTAAGGGATGAGGGCCTTTTTTCTGGTCAGTTTGGGGTTGGGTTGCTTTTGCTGTGTTTTGTTTTCAGGGAAGGACAGAGCAACAGTCCTGTAGTGGAGGTGGGACAGCCTCCCCCCCGAGTTCTTAGGGTAACGGGAACACCCTGCAGTGCAGGACAGGAGAACGTCTGTCCCCGTCGCCCAGCTGCAGAGAAGGGACATTACGTTCTTTGCAAGCTTTAGGGGGAAAATTACTTCCACCCAGGCTTTGAGGAGTGGACTCATTGAGCTCTGTAGCCAGGAGTCACTGTGTTTGCTGGGGGCGGGGGCGGGCCGGAAGGGGAGGACACGGATTCCTCTGGGGTCACAGAGCCTCCGAGGACAGGGGCCGGGCACACAGAGCGGGCGAAGGTGGAGAAGCCGGGAGGGGAGCTGTTCAGACCAGTTTCACCTTTGTGGTGCTTCTGTCAAAGGCATCTAATGGGGATGTAATCAAGAGGAAACAGCAAGACAGGCCTTTTGCAGAGCATCTGGCCTGGGCGCTAAAAATGACGCAAATCCTGGGATGTGCACCTCTGGGTTCAACAGTGAGACACGGCGTCCTGCTGTCATGGGCAGTGGGGCCTGGGCCTGTCTGTCGGCTCATAGCAGGGCGTGGCAGGAAAGGCCGAGTGGGGGACACGGCTGGGGGAGGTGAGCTCAGCTTGGCTCACGTGTGTGTGTGTAACTAGGTGTGCACACACACCCTCACACAGGCACACTCTGCAGTGGCAC